CCTCGTAAACAGGGTGGCTAGTTTTTCTAACACAATCTGTCCTCCATCTTTCAGCAGATCTGATGTTACCTGATCCTCACCAGCAGTTTTGCCTCTTCGCATGCTCCCCAAAGCTTTTCTGACCTCTTTTATCATTACTGGTGGGGTGTCATCTGGGTTACTGCTAGTTCTTATAGTATTAAGGTCGTGGTTGTCTCGGCTACTGTACAGATCTCTGTAAAACTCCTCCGCTATTTTAACTATCCTATCCATATTGGTAGTTATTTTGCCTTCTTTGTCCCTTAGTGCATACATCCGACTTTTGCCTATCCCAAGTTTCCTTTTCAATGCTTTGACACTTCCTCCGTTTTTCAGAGCGTGTTCAATTCTCTCCATGTTATACCTTCTTACATCGCATACCTTACGTCTATTAATCAACTTCGAAAGCTCTGCCAGTTCTATTTTGCCAGTTCTACTTGACACTTTCATGATTTCATGTGCCAAATTATGCAAGCGTAAGTCACTTAGTTTTTTTTTTTAGAAAATAAATTTTAAAATCCGTAGCTAATTCTGTAATTGTAGTTGTAAACGCGGGCCACCCTGTGTATATGACGTCAGGGCCTACTTTTTTTTTTTCAAAAACCCGGTCTTTCTCAACAGACGGATGCAGCGCAAGCTTTTTTCTACCAGGTGACAACAACGCGAGCACAGTTCACTTTGGTCAGCTCCATACAGCGTGTTAGTAGCCGTTGACGTCGGGTCTTACAATATTGAGCAACGAGGAAATCGATCGGGGCATGTCAGATACTTTAGGCGCCGGAGGGTCGAAATCAATGATTCTGTGCTCAGATAATAGCTGCAATCATCCCTGAACTTGTCACTGGTAGGTTCAAACGAGTGGTGCAGCTTGATTCCACGTTGGATGAGATTGCCAACTTGCTTTTCCCGCATCAGAAGATCACGCCACGTGAGCTAAGTTTACAGCCTGGCCTGCCGTGGTAGGGTGTAGCGAATATCGTGACGTCATCGGTGACGGGTTCTTGTGACGTCATCGGATACCCACCTTAGACGACAGAGGTGCTCCCTGTTTCGGTTTCTGCTATGACTCGTCGTTTTTTTTTTTTTTTTGCTTAATTAAAATTATTAACGAGTGCCTGGCCAAAATGAACTGCCCTAGTTTTTTCAGGACTGTCAGCATTACCTCCGTATGAATGAAAATGCACCGGGGTTCCCCTTCAAAGAACACAACATAGCCAAAATTTTTGACGCCTTCCACACTGACGTCCTTCATAATCTCATTGTCATCTCGCGACGCAAAATTTCAAAAACTATTATTATTATTATTATTATTATTATTATTATTATTATTATTATTATTATTATTATTATTATTATTATTATTATTATTATTAGCATAATCATCAAAGCCTTGCGCAAGCGTTTGTCTCAACTTTGCATGCACCAAAGGTTAATGTTTTGAGTACGCACGTTAAGTTTCGAAAACTGCGCACTCATCCAAGTGACGCGTTACGAACTCTATTATAAAATTTTCTAATGTAATATAACGTCTTGATGAATTCATGATTTGAGTGCGAGAAGCCACTTTACTGACGGATTTAGGTTCTAGCAGTTTCAATATAATATAACATCTGGGGATTTACGCCTCCGAAAATTTCGACCATCTGGTACACTGACATCGCATCGTACACTGCCCTGTTGTATCTCTTCTCCATCGAAATGCGACTGCTGTGGCCCGGATCCAACACGCGACCTTCGGGTGATCTAGCAGTTTCAAGATGCTTTTATCAGATAAATACTCTCGTGCATTGTCAACAAAGGTCAGATCCTTGCGATTAGCAATGCATTCATGGATTTGAATTGGCTTCATGAGAAGGCTTTACGCTGGGCATCAAAGGTACGATTCTTGTCAACCGTCACGAATAAGAAACAACAGAAGCCACACGCATACCGGCGCCGTCCTCTTGTCACGACGTTTTCGAGGACTTCGCTGAAGACGCATGCGGCGCAGCTGCGTGTCGGGTTCTCTCGCGATGTTTACGACGGCTGGAAGGCTGCAGACTTTGCGTGTTGCCCTTTGTCCTGCTGCGAATGCACACCAAGACACGTAGCAACACGAGACTGAGGTGCACCACTTGCGCGCGCGCACGACCGCTTGTATCACAGTGCAGGAGAAAGGTGTGCCAGCAGACGACAGCAAGCTTGAAGCAGACGCGCTCGTTATCCAAGCTATCCCGCGAACGACAACTGAAAGATTTTTTTTTTTTATTGTAAGCAACACTGAGAGGGAAAGGCAGACGGACAGAAATCAAGCGATACGTGAAAGTCGCAGCTTTCTACAGTAAAGGTGAGTGACGCGTGCGATATCGGCTTCTGCTCTGAATGCGTGGAACCGTGTCATGGCAATACTTGTTGATGCTTTGTGCGCTGATGTGCGCTGTGCGAGGACAGAGCCTCGGTTTATCAGATCACCAGGTCATTGTCAGCACCTCTGCATCGTACGTAAACGGCCCTCGAAGATAAAGATAGGACACGTGAATCCTTCGGCCCATCGGATGCTCGCGTGTGCCGGCGCACTTGCGCAAAGTCAGGAACAAAAGTAGTAAGTAATTTCACGCTTTGTTACGCTAGTGCCCCGATTTTCGTGAAGCATCAATTCGGGAATGCTATGCATAATTTGCGTGAAAGACTCCCTGCTCGGTGGAGCTATGCCGCGAAGTCACAGCTAGACTACTGGTGCATTTGGCAGGCTTTATTTTGGTCGGCTTGTCACGATGCGTTTGAGCTTTCGTCACAACTCTGGTTCAGTACGATATATATGTTAAAGCTATATACCATCAATTCTCGTTTGCGTGCGTCATCACCATGTGGCAATGACGCGCGCAAAAGAGAATTGATGGGCTCATGGCTGTCGCGTAGGCTTCCTCAATTTCCCACCTTCTTGTTTTCAATTATTTTTTTTTCCAATTTCAACCAGCGAAATTTCAACAAGCTGTCGCATCCACGCCTATATTTCTCGAAAAAGCATTCGTCACAGCTTGCTTCTCCGCAATGAACCTTATTGTGTAAAGACGCCAACTTTAATGTGGCATAAATAAGCCGATCAGTCACTCTCTCTTTCATTTCAGGGAACGCACATTTCTCATATATAGTCTAATAGCCCTTGCATTCAACAGCCGTTGGTCGACACTGCAATAGATTAGGGACTGCAGTTATATAAGGCGACAGCATGTAACGCTCTGCGAAACAGACATAAGTTCTGTGCTAGCAGTGACACGAAATCTTTCGGGCTGCGTTTGAGAAAATTACGGATTGTTCGAGGTTCCGGACGCTTTTGCACCAAAAGGCAGCTACTGCCCTGACCGATAGGCAAACTGAGCTTGGAAGCTGGCTTGCCATGCTGACAGTGAAGCATAAATCACTGGCACGCCACAGGAAATTTTAGTAGGCTTGATACTGAGCGCAGTTATATGCTCCCGCTTCTGTACAAGATTACTGTGAAACAGGGGCGTAGCCAGAATTTTTTTTTTTCGTGGTGGGGGAGGGTTCAATCATACTGTATGTATGTCGTGCGTGTTTGTATTGTGCGTGTATATATCTCCGCAAGCAAAATTGAAAATTTTCGTGGGGGAGGGGGTGGGGTAAAAAAAACTACCCCGCCTACGACCCTTGGGTATGGTGGCTTCTAGCCACCATACCTTGGGTGCCATTCTGGATATTGTCAAATTCCGCCATGTTGTCAGATTCCGCCATTAATTGATGCTAATTGGCCAAGTTAGCTGCTACGACCTCTCTGATTGGCTTAAAATGCCGCCATTACGAAATTTGACAATGTGTCCAGACAACGCTTCCGAGTCCTAGATTTCCTGTGCCTGCCGGATGAGCGCGAAACGCCAGTCATCTATAGCGGCGCTGCCTACGTAGGAGTAAGGGTCTTTGTACTTGGCCTCTGAGATTGTCAATTTTGGCGTTTGCCACTAATTTTAGAGGATGCTTTGTATTAGAAAAATTGCTTGCTGAATGACGGCGTCACTTACGTAGAGTTAATTATAATTACGTTTACGCCTTTTAGAATTTTTTAACGTTGTTTTTGTTGAATATAAGCTCCAAAAAACGTAAAAACTTATTTGAAGACAACCCTCTTGACTGGCGCCACCACCGTAGTTCCAACGACCGCCGCTTCCCAAGTGACCGCCGATAATCCAGCTGGCACGGGAAATCTAGGTGGCGTTGGTCCAGAATAGCACCCATGCTGTGGACGAAAAGAATCTTCGAGCGCATAGATACGTTGTTCTAGCTACTGTAGCATAAAGTGCAAGATGCAAAACGATTTGAATGGTTGAAAAACCTGCCTCTTGGGAAACGCTAAATGAAGCCGAAAATATTGTTATACATAAGAGACAATAGAATCGGGCATGTTGGTATAACAGCGCTCTATCTCGTCTCTTCTGTCCCCTCCTGTCGTTTGCGCTGTTAAGCACTCTTGATCTTGTTATACATTTTCTTATTATCACAAAATTTTTAAACACGACCCAAGAACGGTACGACGATTTATAGCGCGAGAACACAACGACGACACAGAGACAAGAAGGACCTTCGTCCCTGTGTCCTCGTTCTGTTCTCGCGCTATAACTATCGTCATACCATACCAACTAGGCCAAGCTGCCCAAGCTGCCACACTTCCAAGAACGTTGTGGACTGCCACGCAACTAACGACAACGTTTCACCGACATCAAAATGCTTTGCATCAGAGATAGCCTACGCAGCCACAATGTTGCTCTTTGAGGAAGTTGTGAAAAAAAGAAACGCGTCGCGACACAGACAACACAAATGTTGTTCCGCAAATTGACTGCACTCAAATTTTGTAATAACAATCCTTGCTGTGGGTAGACGCCCAGTTTCGAAGCGCACATTGATTTTTAATGTACATAAAACCAAAACTAATTTTATTATCATCATCATTTTAACCTGCGGAAGAACGTCGTGCGTCGTCCGCTAAATTGTTAATGCGGTAGGTCGCCGCTCGGTTCGTTTCACATCTCCGACTCTCCGGTACGCACGTGAGCCTCTGTCGCCTTGCTGCTGATACTTCGCGCTGCCTTGGCGTTATTGCGAGGAAAGTTTCAGAAAACAGCTACTGTCGTTTAACAGCTCAACGGGACCTAACAAACGGATAAGTTTCCGGTAAGGTCGCCCTCTGGCAGCTCGACCAACTTTCGCTTGCGCTTTTAGCAGCACGTAAAAGTTGTGCTCAAGTGTTATATTGGTGCCGCTTTTCGGCGTACTTATAGTTGTCTTGTACCGCGCGTGCTTACGTCGAAGGGTAACGGTATAAGGAATGCTACACTAGCATTCCTGTAGGTATACTTTTAACAAGCTTATATATGCTTAATCTGCTGTGCACTGCACCATCACCATTTCTTAACTTATTCAGTGCCAATCTCCGACGTTTTCTTGATTCGCTGTATCCGCACTGTCAGCTGCGAGTTAAATATTTACTCAAAATAAAATCACCCAACTATAGATGCAGCGCTGTTTTCTAACGAGCGAATTAGAGCCTTCAATTCCGTAAATGGCATCCTATCGAGGGGACTGCGGCTGTTTTTCTTGCTGGGCCACGCATTTCTCGTATGGTGTCTTACGCTGTTTCAAATTGTTAAGTATGTACCCGTAGCAGCGCAGTCAGATGTTTAATCTTGTTAGCTCAATTTTCCGTAGCCACAGTCAGCCTTCAACCTGGTTTGAATTGTGTTCAAGTCAACTAATGTGCGCTAAGGATATACGCCTCTGAAATACTATTTATTCACCAAATTTTTTTATCATAGACTGAACTTAAGAAAATTCCGTCTCGGAGTGTATATCCTTTTTCCTATTTGTGCTGTGTCAACTCAAAACAGCCTTTTCGCAATCTTTGCACTATATAAGCACTATAGAAAGTATCATGCAAGCCCTAATGCTGTAGGAAGGCATTTTGAACATGGTCTACATTTTAACACTTTATTCTGAAATTTGAGCGTGGGGCCGGCCACCGTCTGAAATATATACAAAGCCTGATATTTCCAGACAAAGGCCATTGTGACATGACTGAAAGGTTGGAATGAATTATGCTACAATGTACGTTATCCCCAGAAGTGCCTGCCACTCTCTCTCTCTCCGTACACACACACACACACACACACACGTACATACCACGACCTACTGTACTTATGACCTGCCCAGCGAGCGGAGTGCCAGCACGCCCATTCTAGTATAGATGCCTGTCGCCATGAAACCTGTGGCACTGCAACTTACACTATGCACACCGGCTGGTAGCGGCCACAACATGCGCCACCACGCTTTTTTTTTTTTTTTGGTCTCGATTCATCCACAAAAAGAAATCTGAAGCAGGTACGCGCACTGATGATGATCATCATTGGGGTTCTATGTCCTAAAACCACAACATTATTTCAAGGGACATCGAAGGGTTCTGGAAGTTTTCACCACATGGTGCTCGCGTAAATCTGAGAGCCACGGCTGAGAGCCACGGGCGCTCGCCGCTCTTGCTCCTCGTACGGCGAGGAGGCGCATTTGACCAGAAAAAGAAATGAGCCGATGAACAAAGCATAGCGAAGCAATTGAAGAACGAAATCAGTGATAACCTTTCTTGTATCATCAAATGCCGAAACGAGGGAGCATGTTTGTTGTATCATCACACGTGTTAACTCCATCATTAAATCACCCTTTAGAAAATTTTTCACAACCGTGAGTAAATTCACTGTGTGAAACACAACAATTAAATCTCGGCCTCTGGGTATGGTTTGGTGATCTTAGAAACCAGTTACAAAACTGTTAAACACTCATGAATGCAATCAGTTGTCAAGGAATTTCAGTAATGTAATTTTTGTTTGCAAAGACCCACAAGGTTGTGTGCTCCCTTTTGGTGATTATTCCAGGGGAGGGTATCTAGCGATATATATACCTCAAGTTCTGTTTCTGCTAGGTAAGCTAGCTGTCTTTAAAAATGAAGACCCGATTCTCGCTCAAAATACTGTGCAAGTTGACTATTTGGCAGCATAAAAATTCAAATGAGTTGGCCTTTTCAACAGACATAAAGGACCTTTTTTGCTCGTTCACACCACAGGATAATGTGCTACTAATAAATGTTGATTGTAAGTGCTGTTTCGTTTCTAAACAGTTGCAGAGTGTCTTTCATTGATTTCTCGTGTACCTTCGATCTACATTTGCCATTTGGAACAAAGGTGGTACAGCCAGCATTTTAGGGTACAGCCAGCAAATATTTTGGGGAAGGGGGGGGAGGGGGGGCTTTGTCTTTAACCACATTTCATGCATGTTTGTCCGTGCAATTGTATACGTGCATGTGCGTATAAACACGCGAAATTGAGAAATTTTTGTGCAGTTTGAAGCCCTACCCACTCTTCCTGGCCTTGGAAATGTTAACCATGCCGATAACAGTTTTTTTTACTTCTTCACCTTGTAGGTGCCACCGTTAATTCAAGGCAGTTTTATAGCTCACATCTAGCAGCGATGGGAATCGAATCTGAGGAGCCAAAGTCCACAGCACCAAGTGAATTCAGCGTTTGAACGGAGGCCTTCTGCTTGCTAAGGCGAACTTCTTCTTTCTTTATGGAGGTAAGTGTAGCGGCTTATGATAACGCTGTCTTATCTCCAGTTCCTTTGTTGACGTATCTGGATTCCACTCTCAATGTGGAAGGTGAATGCGGCCTCTCATGTGCATAGGTTGGCAAAACATTAGGAGACCACTCGGACTCGCTCATTAAAATTTATTTTGCCCTTTTGACTCACTCAGACTCATAAAAATTATCCTGAGCCGGACTCACTCCGACTCACACTCACAAACATTTGCTTCAACTAAACTCACTCGCACTCATACTCAGCAAAATATTACTCATCCGGACTCACTCAGACTCGCGGCTCGATATGAGTCCGAGTGAGTCGACTCACGAGTTCGTTAGCCTAGAGTTAGCTTCTTCGGCCATAGTGCCAATGGTCAGCACAATATCTCGCGTAATCTGTGCTCTGCTGGGTGCTATTTGATATACTATCTTCGAATACGAGTTCCGAGTGCTTGTAAAACAGTGGGGATATTTTTCTTTAAATAGGTGATCATAAGATATATTTATCCAGAACCTCCCTGGAAGAGTTGCAGAGGGAGGGGGTCAAGGAATTCCCCTACGTAATTGGCGCCTATGATTAATAAATACTGAAACGGGGTATGAACGACGCCGCTTTGGAATACCTGTTAGTAGACATGAGTATAAACATGAATGCAGGTAAGGCTGGTAGTAACGCTGTCAAGTAAATAGGACCTTAGTTCGGCAAAAGAAAGCAGAACTCACTCAGATTCACTCAAGAAATATATATTGTGCTTTGGACTCACTGGGAAACAGAATTGCCAAATTTTCCTGAGCCGAACTCTATCAGATTTACACTCGCAAAAATTCTCTTCAACCGGGCTTGCTCGGACTTAGACTCGTCAATATACTACTCACTTAGACTCTTTCAGACTCAGGGCTCAGTCTGAGTGAGTCGACTCATGAGTGGGCTCGCCGACCCTGCGCTGTGTGTTTGCAGCGCTTTTTTTTTTTTAATTGCTTGTTTAGTTTTACATGCTCCTTCATTGCATCAGCAGCCAGGTTGAAAATGCCCCATTCCACTGTGTTTGTGTATATGTATATGCATAATTTGAATGGATTTTCCAAAAGGTCTTGGCATTTTCTAATTTTCTATCAAGTTGAAAGGCAGGCAACCCACACGGAAAAGGGAAAAAAAGTTGCTACTAATGCTTCGCCCAAGGCACAGTCAAATATATGTACATTATCTACATGTACACAAACACACAATAACATCACAAACCCTGTTTTCCCTGGGTGTTTTAGGACTTCTTGCTTGCCACGAGAATTCCCTTGAACACTCGGCAATACTGCGTGCAAAGAACTTCGTAGACAAGAGGTGGCAACAAAGAAGGCGGAGCAGTAACTTACGGCTGATTTTTATTTGCTACTCACAACCACCACATCGCAAATTCTGACCATGAACATGCACAGTACATGCACACACGAGTGTATCTGAGCAGACATTAAAAGCATGCTCCCAGGAAAAGGCTATTTCCCGATGGCCAAAGACACGGAGGTCTACATTGGAGCTCCCTCAATCATTTCTTGTGCAAGGTAATTGCCGTCCTGGAACTAAAAGAGAGTGGTCATTAAACAATGGCTTACACCTACACTCGTGGCACTGACTACCATAAAATGCCGAGTGAAAACAAGGTCCTACGATAAAGGAAAACCCGACAAGAATGGGAGGGTGTGCCCTTGCTCGGTTGCAGATCAAAATTTGTGATGGCAGAGGAAGAGTTGCTAAGAATAAGGAATGCACACCCATGATTCAAATAAATGCATCCTTGAATACACATGCACTTGCCCTTTTTACTTGCCCCGTCGGGCAAATGAAAACAATAAATAAAACAGTGAAAATGGATGGAAAGCGAGTAGTGGAGGGGGCATAATTAAAATTTCCCAATAAGTGAAGGGAGGAGCTTGTCCTAGTAGGGACGCTTACTTGGGATTTTATGATAGCTGTGCTGCCATGATTTTATTTCTTCGCTTTCTTAGCATATTTACATAGGCCATTGTTAATATGGCCTACTACAATATATCAGTATCTTGTTCACCACCTCATTCAGGTGGAAGTTAGCGGTCAGATTCATTTAAGATAAAAGTTTGCGCTCAGTATTTTTGTGTATTTGATACAGCTCAGACCCTCATGCTGTTGAGTCCCTTAAAGGAACACTAAAAAGCGAAACTGTTTTTTCGCATATTAGTAAAGTACAATTTAACGATCCCGAAAACACCTACTACGACATCACTCTTGGTAAGCGAGAAAACTTGTGAAAAGAAAGTGCGAATGGAGACTGCCACCATGAGATTCATGCACCAAACAGCGTGACGTAGTAAATTTTGAGGGCGTCTACTGGGTTCTACATAGATTCGACTTGAAAAAATTCAAGTTCTGAGCCATCTGTGGATGCCATATACCTAGCATACAAAGTTTTAAGAAATGTCATAAAGCAAGGTCGTGGAAAAAAAACAAAAACAGATTGACACTTGTTACGTCACGCCCAGAGATTTTGGTGCAAATTGTAAAAATAAAACTTCAAACTTGATTTCCTTCGCTATAAATGGACTCATGACAGTGAAACTTACAGCATTCGACTTCTAAAAGGGCAGTTTATCAATTTGAACCAAGTCGCTGTTTCTCTTTAGCGTCCTTTGAGTAGCCACCTCTAAATCCTGGCTGCCATAGTTGATGCAGCCCACAATGGCAGAATAGGACAGGTGGCCAAAAAGCTGCTGCTTCCCCAATGCACCGTGCTTGTCACAAAAGTGCTGGAGTTGTTGCCACTTAACCCCGAGATATCGGCAGTAGTTGTATGAGCTGATGTGTCTGCTCCAGCATAGTTTGAAAGTACATACTAGTAGGCACGCTTTACGAGCATTTAAACTGCATTTTTAAGTCTCTGGCTTTTCAGACATACTTTTGCGGTGCTGTGCACCAGAGAGTTCCTGAATAATACTGAAGAATTACCGTCACTTACGACGACCTTTTCATGTGAATTCGTGATTACAGTGTGACTTCATACACGTCGTTCATACCCTGTTTCTTTGTTTAAGATCTTTATTTTACTGGATTTAGATTAGTTCTAAAAACCTAGCCTGCACTGATGCTCCATTGCCAGAACAATCAAATTTGAAACAAAAATCTTTTGGTATATTCAAGATCAAGTATATGTGTTTATTCTTCTGCATTGCTGTGTGAACGAGAAATCTGTATGAAATGTATGAATAATCTGGGAAAAGTATTTCTACCCAAAACTATTGTTGACACACACATGCGCATGCATGCACACACACATGCACACCCTCTCTCTAATCAACCAGTGACCACGTGTAACAGTGAATTTTTATGGCAGCCAGAAGATCATAAATTAACCAAGTTCGAAAGCCCAACTTTTCATTGCGGTAATGTGAAAACCAAATATATGATATTCACTCTTTACAGTCCTTGGTAGATGTTTTCACTCTTTGAATAAAAAATACATGCCTGTTCCTTGTGATCGCCACTCTGTGTCATTCTTATCAAGATTAACAGGGCTGATTAGAAAATTTAGGCTCCATAAAGCCCGTTACACTTACATTAGTGGGTGAAGCTGGCAGACCGCCACTGCAAGCTATCAAGAACTTGTACAATATTTTAAAGCCAGAAAAATAGTTACTGTAACTGGTCTTTACAGCTCAGCAAAAGCAATCATTGAACGTCTTTCGACCCATAAATCTGTTGCAGACCTAGTGTCAGCCGCAAGCAACTCAAGCAGCTCAGGTGACATGCTCTCAGCACTCTTTCGGCCACCTCTTCTATTCTACAGCTGTTATGCATCCCTTATACATTTAGCACGGCGGATACTTCTGCATCTTTTCAGCCACCTATATGAACAAAAAGCTAGCAGATATTAAACCGCCTGAGCAGTTATCATTGCTAAAGGTGTGACATGAAAATTTCTACTCGCACATGATAAAGCATCTGCACAGAACCTTATCTGGTATTTTCAGAATGCTAAAGCCTCATGTTTATTTTTGTTTTTTCTTTGTTTTGCAGCATCTGCTATAATTCTCCCTGCCCTCTCTGTGTATGGTAACGAACTGGGGCTCAATGCTGCCTCTGTGGGTGTGGTTTTGACTGTGGTGCCCTTTGTTGTGTTCCTCGTTCGACCACTCATAGCAGGCGTCTCCGACAGACTGCAGAAGATTATGCCGGTGCTTGTATGCGTCATAGTGTTCGAAGCCTATTTCTCTTTTGTTCATCAGTTCAGTACCTCCATTAAGAACAACCGGCGAGCAGGACGCTGGACTGAGTTTACAGCTAAACTTAACTGCCTCAAATGCGACGGGCTCACTAGTGGGAATAGACAATAAATTTTGCGTGGCTGAGCATCTCAAGAACTCGAGTGTTCACTGTTTCCTCGAATGCCCTTGCCAGAGGGGCATCCACGCTGATGGTGATAATGTGAGTGATTCGTGTAGGCTCCAACACAGTGTAGGTTTACAACCTGTGTCTGCAGAACTGCCTAGTGAGTTTTACCTTCTCGGACAACGAAAGTGAGCCACTGCCGAGTGCTGAGCTTCAGCCTTGATGAAGCGATAGTGACGTGCACTGCAAACTGTTCCGTGGATCTCTTGCCATGCCTGGAGAAATCTGCTGACACTGCGGCTGCCTCGGAGGACATGCACTCGCTGCAATTCTGGCTTTTCCTCCTGCTCACGTGTCTCATACGCATTGCCATTTCGAGCACCTTCTCACTGTCCGATACTGCCTGCTTTCAGCAGCTCGGCGATAAGCCACAAGACTATGGCCTCCAACGGCTTTGGGGCACTGTTGGCTGGGGCATCACTGCACCCTTGAGTGGATTGCTGATCGACTATGTCAACGCTCAGCTTGGCTACAAAAGCTTTGTGCCCGGCTTCTACATGGCGGTGGGGTTGATGGCAATACAGTGTGTGATCGGCTGCAGTTGGCGGCTAGGGCCTTCCACACACAACAAAAGCATCCTCCGGAATGTTGGCGGCTTGCTAAGGAAGCCCAGGCACCTGTGTTTCCTCCTGGACATCTTTGTGGTGGGCAGCTGCAGCAGCATTCACTGGTACTACATCTACTGGTACCTCCAGGACTTGCAAGCCAGCAAGCTGCTCATGGGGCTCACCCTGGCGACACAGAGCTTCTTAGGGGACTTGCCTTTCATGTTCCTCTCAGGGTGGCTAATAAGTAAGTGAGCTTTGCCAAACCTTGCATTCATGGAGAGTGAACATTAATTATAATTACAGAAAGACACAAGTGTTTGCTGTCACCAGAGTGTCCTTGTTTTGTGTTGCAGGAATGTCGAAATGGTCCTGAGCTGCTAGTCACTATGCATGTGCTAGCGTGTGCCTGTGTGTTCCTTTTTTCCCTCAATGTTCGTGCTCGGGTTGTGACCGTCAATTTACAGAGGATTGATGAACACTGGGTTTTCTCATATTCTTACAGTTGGAAATGTTAAACACCCGAACAACAGCGTGTAGCTATTCATCACTCCATATGTGACATTTCATTGGTACACATTTCAGAGCACCACTTTAACACTGCAGGAAGCAGGTATAAATTGAGCCTGTTTTAAAAACTAGTAAATGGTTTTCACAGTTGTATTTGAGTATAACTGCACTTTCGTATGAGGTCTTGCTGCGCAGAGAAAAAATATAGATAGGGGAGAACAGTGTGCAGACTGTGCGGCAGCCATCTCTGATGTAGCATTACAAAAGCTAAAGGCTAAACAACCTTCATGTTATTCTTAAACAGTCCAGTTTTGTTGCAGAAAAAGAAAGCTGCTTGCATTTTAGTGGGCTGTTGTCGACAGGACTGCACCATTGACAATTATGGAAAATCTACAGTAACTTGTGGTGATGCAGAAGTGCAGTAAAGTGAGCAGAGAGGGAGCCTAACAACAACTTTTGTTGTTAGGCACGGAGTTCGCACTGGAGAGCTTAGATAATGTGGGGAGCGGCATTTACTTAAGTTTAGCAGAATCATGAACTCTATGAGTTTATGACAGCTTACTAGACATGAAAGCTTCATGCGTTTCTTGATCTGAAGTAAGTTTTGGAGTTTTGTATGCCAAAACCCCTCTATGTCAAAGTGGTAAACCTTGTATTGACTCAAACCACCTGGTGGTTTAACATGCACCTCGATATTGTTACACATGCGTTTGCACTTTTTCCCACCAAAATGCAGCTGATATGAACAGGAAATGAACCCATGTTCTCAAGGTGCACATTAAAGAACCCCAGATGGTCAAAATTAGTCTAGATTCCTCTACTGTGGCAGGCCTTGGAATTGTATCATGGTTTTGGCATGAAAATTCTGAACATGCCCGCATGCCAAGTAGTGCAATACCATGGCTAACATCTCCTGAACAATCGGGCATTATGTGTATCTGTTTCAGGCAAGTTGCAACACATCAATGTGGTGCGTCTGGCTTTCCTGGGCTTCTTCGTGAAGTTCCTGGGCTATTCATTCATGCACAACCCTTGGTGGGCCATTGCCATCGAGCTACTGCAGGGACCAACGTACGGCTCATTCTATGTGGCCATGACCTCCTATGCTCGCAGCATCTCTGTTCCTGGCACTGAGGCCACTTTTCTCAGCATTATACAGGGGGTCTTCGACTGCTTGGGTGAGGGCCGTAATACACTTCTACCAAATCTTGTAGATAGACCCTGCCTCTAGTGGTGGCAAACTTGTGTACGTGGTGGCAAACTTGTGTAAACACATAAAAGAATATGTGTTTAAAAAGCTGTGTTTCATTATTTCTTGTCACATCACACATTCTTTTGCTAAGAACAAGACAAACATACATGAAACTGGGGGTGACGGCATATTATTTACTTCATTGTATGTTTTAACAGTGTCAGATGACTGACTGTTTTGTGGTCAAAGCAACTTTGTCCAAATTGCAGCTGTATCCAAGCTCAGCTGTCACTTCCTTCATTTTGCAATGCAGTTTGCTAAGCTAACAGCAATATAACCAGTAAATTGTAAAGAATTAGGTGCACTAAATTAGCTGTAGGTTTCAATTTAGGAACATAAGGAAGATTTATAAATTATAAGCATACAACATTTTTAGGAGGCCAGAGACCTTCATGCTTACTTTCATGGTGAGATCGTGTACAACAGCTAAGCTCTAGCACCCACATTTCACATAATGTGCTTAAACGATGGCCCCTTTTAGCTATTGATTGGTCAAAGTGAATTGTCCGGAAGTGCACATGAATATTAGAAAAAAATATAGCATGAAAACGTTCATTGAGCTTGAGCTAGAAGCGAAAATTTCATTCTGTAGCAGTTTGTTTGTGCTGCTTGCCATAAATTCATACAACACTCGTAACAGTGCACAGTGGGAATTCAAACGCAAGGCTGTATGCCCGGTTTAACGAAACATTTCGCAATGCCTTGGGTCATGTAGTGTGAAATATTCTGGCACTGACATTACCGTAGTTGAAATAATGCTTTGACAGAAGTGTATAAAATGTCTTGTTTCATGAGCTTATGGTGCTTGTTTATTCATACTTCTAAATGTGTTTGTGTTTCTGTGTGTTTTGTTGGTTGCAGACACTTAAAAAAAATTAGCGCAGCATGTTAACTTCTATTGATCCAGTATAAGTGGAGAATATTGGTAAGATTTTGTGCATAAAAGCATTAAAGAGCCAGTATCACCACAAGTGCAGAGCAACCAATGCAAATTTATATATCGTTCGAATGAGTAGAAATGATATATGAAGTGAAGCTAAGCAGCTCACGGCCACTACTGCGAAAAAAGCTACCTTTGTGCTGTCTATGGCCTCAATGCAAACTTTGCAATGAGAGCACTACATTAACAAAGTTATGAGCTGTCTGCTAATCCACCCAAAAGGTTGAGCATAACCATGGGCGACCAAGCCCAGTAAGTCAATGTACACGTTGCACCTTTTGTGCAATGGAGACGGCAGGCATATTTCATCCCTGCTTGAGTGACGTTCGTCAGCAGCACTCGTACACTTTCACTAAAACATGGAACATATTACGCATTGGGTGATATCACCACTTTGGAATGCAAACAAAAAAACTGTGCTGGCGACACCACAAATGCTCCTGGGGTCTCCCTATAATTACTGTCGCACTAATGCATTCATGAACAGCATACCTGACAAGGAGTTTCACAAGAAACAGCTTTTTCTTTTCTGGTGCTATAGATGCTTGATGCGGACATTTATGAAGTCCTGGCCTGTAAGTCATCATAGTGGGTGATTAAAACAAAGTGGGCTCTTTGGCAAATCGGCAGAACTGTTTTACAATACTAGCTAAACTGGCATAATGTATTGATTTGCTTCACTCTATTCTGTCAAGTCTGTTGTGAGATCAGCTAATATTTGTGATAGCAAAGACAGAGTGTAACGCAGACCACTCATAACATGCAGAAAAGAAAATAGGTGAAATCGGATCGTTATGTTGCAAGCCATTGAGTGTGCAAAGGAAAAATTGTTCAGTTCAGGTAATAGGCAGGTTAATCTACTTGGAACACACTTTACATTAAACACTTGCTATGGGAATGTTGGCAACACAGTTTTGCACATCACATGAAGTTTTCTCAACTGTGCTGTGCTCATTAGTATGCCAGTCTCATTTTATCAAGACATTTTATATCTTTGTTGCCATTATTTTTAGGTATAGCTGCTGGATCTTGCCTGGGTGGCCTGGGCTTAAGCTATTTCGGTGCCAGAAAGACCTACTTTATTGCAAGTTTTGTGCCTCTGGTGTGGCTTGTGCTGACAATCCTGATTAGTCAGCTTATCACACACTGTAGCAGCGGTGAGCAGGACAAGGGTGAGATTTTTTTTCCCGTCTTGAATTCCTTATAGTAGGAGTCAGCTTGCAGCCTTTTGTTTGACATGTTTGAGCAATTATATAAGTGGTATGTACCAGTCAATGCTTGTCTATTCGAGCAATGCCATCATCCTTCTCATTCAGCGACCCCATTCTCAAGAAATCACATTCATTTGGTGTACTTAACTGCAGCATGTTCCAAGAAAATTAAAAAGACGCTAAAGTGATGCAGTGAATTGATTTATATTGATAGCTTATTCTTTGAAAACACTGCTGTCATTAATTTAACCATCATAGGTTCTTTAGTACAAGATGAAATAAAGGTCAAAATTTTAATTTTAAGTTTCACATTGAAATTTTCTGCACATGAATGCCAGTCGAACATCACGAATTTCAAAGTGTTTTGTTTGTGTTTGTGCTATGCTTGCCAAAACAAACTTCCTGAAACTTGGTACACTAGGTCTCTGCTCTCTTCAGAAGATGATGTACTTTATTTTTACTGTGAAATATATAGGCCCTAGTAGATATGATCAATGTCGATGATGTCATAGCGAGTTCGTGCAGAATCTTCAAGGTGCCTTTGCCACAAGCATTTTTTTTTCCTGCTTATTTGCTAAGTAGCATTTTTATGGCAATGGTTGTGCTTTCAGTATTGTGAAGGGCAAGCTATTATTGCGTAAAGAATTGCTTTATTTTTTAGCATCCCTTTTGCAGTTAGTCTTTTTCTCTTGCTCTCTCTTCCAGTGGTTGTTGAAGAGCCCATGGAATCTGTCCAGCCTTTCATGTCTGCCAAGAGCAACCGAAGAGACCATTCTGATCAACAGCCTGTGGAACAGCTTTGAATGTGGCTGCAACGCAGCGGCTCAGATGGGCAATCGGCTCGATCTCACCCAGTGTGCTGGCACCACAAGATTGTCACACCATTCTACATTGCGAACTTACCGTGTAAAGCCTGGCTAAGCCTTTCACCACCAGCTTACAGTTTGATTAGTTGTTAGTACATGTATTCTCAAACTAGCAAGCCAGTAGCACTATGCGAATGTGAGAACAGCGTGTTGCTGATTCAACCGAATGCTAAAATGCTCTTTGGTGGTCTTGACCGATGCCTTTGTACCCTAAAGTACATTTATTTTTTCTGTACAAATCTGTTGTGCGAAGAATTGATATGTTTCATTTTCCTGGTGATAAAATAGTTGCTGCTAAGCAGGCAGCCTAGAAAGCTGTGCTGTCTGCAGAAGCAAAGCGCATTTAAAATGTCACAAAATGTGTTTCTGTAAGGGATTCTGCGAACTGCCATAGCAAATGGAAATATATGTGGCTTATCAGGCATACATAGAACAAATGTCACTTTTCATTTCCTCAAAGGCTGATGTGTGCAGTGCAAGCGGGTGAAAGACATCCTTGCTCAGTAAATGCATTTCCTTAAAATGCTGCATAATGCTGACGAGTAACATGGCCCAACACTACAACATTAACAATGACGCAAAAGTTTTGGTTCACTATTACTTGTCTTGCAAAGTAAAGACAAGAAAACTTCATTTGCAAGGACATGAAACTTCCATGGGTATATATAAAGTGAGAACTTGTGATGAGTTGAATTGTGAAATGGTCAAAAATATTAATACTATTTCACTTGTGACACAAATTACGAATTAAAGGTGTGTAAAAGTTATGCTTCCGTTACGGGTTCATGCCATTTTTTTATGCATTTCCTATGTACAGTGAAAGCTTAATGTAACAAAGTTTCATGGGACACAAAAATGTCTCTGTTATATCCATTGTGCATTGTTAACCATGCTAATAGTCTGCATGACTGTTACCCTAGTTTTGTATGTACATGTGTGCGTGAGCTTTGGTGTAAAAAGAGCCAAGGACATATTTACTACATGCACAGTTCATTCATATCGTATGTTGAACCATTTCTACGGTAGACGCCCCTTCGAAAATTGCCCCGTATACAATCATGGACAGTATGAAAGGGAACACTGTAATTATTCTCAAGTGGCCATAATGCCTTAGTGCAGTTTTCCAATGCAAAAGTTTCCAATGCAAAGGCTTATACACAAATTCTGTTTCCTTTCACATTGCTCATGGCCGTGCATGCACAAACACACACACACATACAAAGCTTGTGTTCCACTCAAGTAGTTATACAAAATCTTGCATTGAGTTTCACTTCTACTGTATGTATTGACCATTGAACATTGCTTAGTGTCTTGAGTTAACAGACAAACACTGGCATGAAATACGAGAGCTAGGCCCGTGCTGAAAACGGTTGCAAAGAAATATTTGTCTTTGAAGATGGATGTGATGCAGTTGCTGGTACATATCTGAACAGGATGCTATAAGCATCTCCTTTGCTTCTATGACATAGACATATATATCATCAAGAACCTACCAGTATAGTTTATGTGAATTTGTGAAAAGACTTCAAACAGCACTTCGTGCAGCCATGTGAGAAACACTGCAACACTTTTGCATTTATAGTTGCATTTCTTTAAATAAACTGTATCAGTGAGGCCAAGGCAGTAATTTTTTATTGTATTTTACTTACCTTTGTAGCTTTTGGTGGGAATTTCATTGGTGTGCTGTACCAATAGAGTTTCTCACAAAATTGCCCAGAGGAAAATCTGGCGCTAGTGAGCTGCTGGATGCAAGGGAATGCCGGGATACTTGAGCTTCAAACTTGACTCCGATTTAGAGGACGCGTCTGGCTTCACGTTAAAATGGTCGATTTTTTACTAAAAGAACACGTAGTAAGCTATATATTTCTTGTCATTGCACAGAAATATGTTTTATTTAATACTGGAACCTTCTGTGCCGATGTACAATTTTATAAAACGCAAGAACTAACCAACGGCAGCTAAACTTGGCAGGCAGACGACAAAGTGAGCCTTTCTTCTGCCACTTTTTGTCGTCTGTTCCTTTCTTTCGCTGTTTGGTTGTGCTGTCCAGGCGAGTAGACTTTTATTTTAGAATATAACAGGCGTGGATGTGATTCGTTTATAAACATTTTGTTTTAGAAAAGCTTTATATTTAGAAGCTTCGCTGAACACCAGCCAACACAAGCCTCGGAGACACATATACAGTCATTCCCAGTACTCCAACGAGCCCCTTAAGAAATTCACATAGACGGTGGCGCCACACTTTCTTCTATTTATGTTTGTAAGAAACTCTACTGCTGTACCATACCGTATAATACCAAGCTAGCAGCTCCTACCTGAGCAAAGGTGTCCCTACCCTTTTCAGGAGATTATAAATGCGTGCCAATGACTGAGGAAGTGCCTCTTTCTGCCCTGCCAACATTTTCACTCTTTCATTACATGTTTTAATTCACCTAATGAGGGTGAATAAGGACAGTGAAATGCATGCTTATTCAATAGTGCACTTCATTTAAAGCACATGCGGCTCTCTCGCTGCCTTCTTGAATTTTGATCTGTGACCAAGCAAGGCCCCCCCCCCCCCCCCATTTAAATTTTGTTAGATTATCTTTCACTGTGAAAGGGAGAGGCACTTGCTTAGGATATAACTGTAAGTCTGCTGTCAGACTTTACAGCACTGGAAGAGTGCTCCCGACGAGCACTCCACTCATAGAACAGTGTAATCTGTGTTGTTTTCCAAGCGATACAACAGCGCATACAGGTTCAAAAACAGTACCACAGTTTGACGTCATGGCGAATTCATTCATTCATATTATTTTTTTTTTGTCGACTGCACACAGGAGACGGAGAATTGGAGAAAGCAAAAGGCACAGAGGCCGGCTTCAAGTAGTATGCTCAATAAAAAAAATGTGAAATAAAAAGAAGGATGAAGGATTATGAGGACAGGGAGAACCTTGGCACATATGCACGGTTGCAGCTATTGTGAACTCGGCCTTAAGAATGATTATATAGTGCATGTGCATGCTGTTTAGATGCAGTCATTTCTTCTACTTCTACGTTCAGTCACAAGTCAAATAAGAGCACTTATTTATCCTTTTATGAGCTCGTCTTATTGAAAACATAGCAATAATCCATTGCTAGATAACTATAACGTTAGATATACCAAAACAAGATTTTTATGACATGGCACTAAATTGTAGTTCCTTGCACTACAATTCTGACACGGAGGAAAATGATGAAAAAAGAAAGATCGATATAATGTTTGCACCCAATCCTCGTGATGTGGCCAATGCGCAGAAGAATGCTTGTTTGTCTTTAACGTTACTTTAGCCTGTCAAAGTCCATAACCAGAAGTGCTGAAAAAAAGTGGCGTGGTTGGACCGAATAAGCCATTCTGCACAAGCAGTGTGAGCAGAGTTACCGTAGCTACTCGTAAGTATGCCATATGTACTTCAGGGGCATCGCCAAAAGCACTGCTCTTGGATTAACATGGCTGAGTTCATTTCTTAACTAGATGAACAGTTAATTTACTCACTTGAATGTAATGAAGTTAGATGAATAGCGATCAAGGTCGAGAGCATGTGTATTGTCTAATAGTACAACAAAACATGAACGTCTTCATAAAAGCATAGATGGACTGCAATGCCTCGTTTGTATCAAAGAGCATTGTCTAGCTCAAAATTATTCAGGAGGAGACAAACTCGAGAGTTTCCCGCATTGACTTTCTGAAATATATGCAAGGTCCAACACACTTACTTGACAAAAGTTAGTTTGATGGCAATCGCAAAGATAGCCACTTATATGTGTGAAGCATGTGGTGTGAACTGATGCGTCCATCCAACTACACGGAAGCCTGAAAGGTAAAATTCCAATGTGTAGTGAGCTCAAATATACAGGGTGTTTCAAGAAATGTGTCCAATGTTATTTAAAAATTACAGAAAGGAGGCATCCTCGTGCTACCTGTAGGGGTGCCTTTTACTGTGGAAGAAGGCATCTTCAGATTCACACAAACATGAGTTACATCAATAATTATATATAAATTAAAATAACTTTTAAACCAGTACAAATATCCGGTCGAGTTTAATTGGCAAATTTAAGTTCTGCATACGAATAGCCCACAGCCCCTTTAAAAAATTTTTGAAAAAGTGGCCACTAATAATCACCACCTAGCAATCTGGCTAATTTAGCTGGCCAAACCAACACACCGAAAAGCACATCTACCATTCACTTCAAAAACGCTCTAAATGACGGCACTGTTTCTCTTGCATCGAGGGAGGGGGATAAGCGAGCGTCGATAAGCGGCCAAAAGCAAAATGTTCAGATTGACGCTTGATAATGGCAATGAAAACAGTGTCGTCATTGAGGGCATTTTAAAAGGGGATAGTAGAAGCACTGTTTGGTGCATCAGTTTTGGTTTTACCTGCTCAATTAGCCAGATTTCATCGCTTGGCGGTGATTACCAGTGGCTGTTTCTCAAAAGTTTCAAAGTGGCTGTGGGCTATTCGTAGAACTGTTAAGCAGTACAAACTTCAGGGACAAGAGAAGGCGATACACAAGTGCTAAACTTCCAACTAAAATTTACTGAAGAAACACATGAAAAATGTATAGGTGACCAAATGCCTGTGCAGCTTCACAATCGCAAAATCACGACACCCCAAAGTCGTAAATTTTGTTGGAAGTTTCGCACTTGTGTATTGCCTTCTCTTGTCTCTCGTCCCTGAAGTTTGCACTACTTAACAGTTCATTGAAGTACCAATTAGCCCAAACAAGCACCTTGCTATTTGTAGAAAGAAATTGAATTCATCCATTTTACTCTATAGGCGATTTCCACTGGTTAAAAAGTTAGTTATTCTAACTTCTATAATTACTGCCGTAACTGTTGCTTGTGTGCATCTGAAGATGCCTAGCTTCTCCACAGTGAAGGGAACACCACAGGTAGCACGGAGATGCCTCCATTTTGCAATTTTAAATAATATTAGACACATTTCCTGGGAATGTTGGCTGAATTGAAGACTGCATGGTGTGCCTGCCAAGCTGCTGGTTAAAGGTTTGAATAGTAAATTGGTCAATGATTCATTTGAAAAGCAGCACTAGTGATGGGCTTGCAAGAAAAGGTGAAATAAACCAGAGGCTTGCACTTGTAACATCTATAGAAGCTATAAAGACATGTGAATTTACAAAAAAAATATGGGTTACAGATTAGTGTAAAATGAAGTGGCAAAAACATATTGCAATATGTGGACACACATGCAGGAAGAGTGAGGAAGTGAGTGAATCGACTTTTAATTGGTCTAGCAAAACGCAACAAAACGCCCACCTGGCAAATGCCACGACGAAACCGACAGGTCAAGCCTGCCGGCTCGATCACGGGCACGCTGGACGGCCAGGATTCGGTCTTTAAAGACAGGACTTCGCAGGAGCGTGTCCCACTCTTCCTTGTTGAACGTCAAGCCCAGCGACCCGCACTCCCAAAGCATGTGAGGCAAAGTAGCAACCTTGCGACAAGCCGCGCAAGAACTATTCATGTAAATTTCTGGATGAATACTATTAAGGAACGCAGAATTAGGGTAAGAGCTGGTTTGCAGGAGCCTGAGCGTGACCGCCTGCGGCCAGTTTAACTTTGAATGAGGTGTTGGGAAGAGCCTTCTCTTTAGATAAAAGATTTTCGTTATCTGATTGTGTGTGCTAGAAGTGTCCCTGTGTCCAGGAGGAAAGTCGTTCTACCCGAGTGCAGCGCGGTCAGTAAAGCCACGCACAGCCTCGTGCGCAGACTCGTTAGGGTTCAGAGGAACCCCCTCAATTGCCCCGACATGAGCAGGGAACCAGAAGATGCTGTGTGTGGTGTTGTCACTGTTTCTGGCTCCTCTAAGAATATGAACAACCTGCCGTGCTACCCGGCCTTTCAGAAATGCCCTGACGGCTGCCTTGGAGTCACTATACACGCTGTATCTCCGACCGTCTTGCATATCGAGTGCAATAGCCACTTGCTCGGCCACCTTAAGGTCCGTCGTTCGATTCGAGGCACAGTTGATGATCTTGCCCTGCGTGTCCATGATGGAAACCACAAAAGCCTTACCATTTCAGTACTCGGCGGCGTCTACGAAGCTTGCCTCAATCTTGTTCGTGGAAATTTGCTGAAATATCGTCACCACTCTTGCCTTGCTGTGACCTGCATTGTGCACTGGATGGACATTGCGGGGCAGCAGAGCAACAACGAGCTTCTCATTTATTTCTCTGGGTAATTGTGTCTTACTGGCCAAATTCTTGGTGGGGGCAAGTCTGATTTCTTCTAGAATTCACCTTCCGGCCAGCGTGGTAGAGGGCCGAGCTAGCTGGGCCCGTTCCTGAGCTTCGGTAATCTCCTCCATGGTGTTATGTATGCTGAGCCCAAGAAGGTCCTCAGTATGCGCTATGACGGCCTGCCCGAGGGCTCTCCTGACAATTTTTCTAATGAGGGCTTGTCACGTTCTGCTCTGAGCCTGTTGTGCATGGCCACCGTGTAAGTGAAGTGACACAGCACAAAGGTGTTGATAAAACGAAGCAGGTTGTCTTCCTTGAGGCCGCGGCATTTGTTCGTGACCCTTCGAATTAGGCGAAAAGCGTTGTCAGTCTTTGCAGTGATCTTGCGCAACGCAGTGCAATTGCTG